AGTTAGCTTCAGTTGTCAACCTGACACAATCCAGAGTTATAGAAAGGAGTCTCAGTTGAGGGGTTGTCTGTATCTAATTGGCTTGGGGCCATGTCTGTGAGGAATTATCTTGATTATTAATGATATGAGGGGGTCCAGACCACTGTGGGCAGTGCAATCCCTGGGTAAGTGGTCTTAGCTGAACATAAGTCAGGGAGAAAATAAGTAAGCAGCATTCCTCATGGTCCCTGCTTCAGTTCCCACTAGAGTTCCCCGCCCTGACTACCCTCATGATGGACTGTGACAGCAAGTATAAGCTGACCTGAACCCCTGCCTCCCCAAGTTGATCAGAGCGTTTTGTCACAGCAATAAAAAGAAAACTAGAACATGAGGTCATATACATAAAATACTTACCAAGTGCTCAAACTTTATGGTTCTAGCACAAGAGGCAGACGCAGGAGGATGACAAGCTTGAGGCTTGTCTGGGCTGTGTGAGATCCTATCTCGAGAACAAAAGAGAGGAAAAAAGGAACAGAAAAGCAGAGAAAGGAGAACAGAGGGGAGGGGAGGAGAAAGGGGGCAAGACAAGGTAAAGAACTGTGGATAGAAAATAAAGTTTGGCATTATAGCATCATTCTACTTCTTAACCACATACAATGTAGAGATTCAATGAGATCTTTACAAACTGTCCACTGCTTACCAATCTTCTGAGACTGGATGGACAAGCTCACATAATGCATGCCAGTTGATCAAGTTGACAAGGTGTGATGTGTTCTATAAAAACACTGCTTAAATCACATCCAAAGAGTTGGTGACAGTATTGAAGCCCTACCTCCTGCTCAGAGCCCATGCTGTCCCCCACTGCAGAAGAAAGGATATTTGGCTGCCAATGTCTGATCACTCAGCATTAATAACTGCATCCCTGATAACTCTGCTCAGAAACCACGAGTTTCAGAATCTGTCAGGGTAAAATTCATCCTTCATTAGGTATCCATCTATTGACAAAGGAAAATACCAAAATCCACTCTAGACATTACCGATTCCCGACGAATGGCAAACATTTCCAAAGGTGTTAATAAGAAGCAAGCTTAGCCACTCGTGAAAGCAAACTCTGTGGTCTGAGGAAGGCAAATGGTATAAAAGCAGCATGAGACTCAGAGTTTGCTACCCAACATACCATGACCCGCAGCCTTAGGACCCTTGTGCATCCTCTCATTGCTAACACAGGAACAGGCTTTGGTTGACATAAAGGACAACTGCCTACAGATAAAAGCAAAACGAAAGCACATTGGCGATGATACGTGGAAAGGGGCTTACCCCAAACCTCTTTTTCCCCCTAACCAGTGTCTTCACAAGAAAGTATTTTCTATGGCTGCCTTTATGGAAGCCTAAAAAGTGGACCGACCTAGTCACCTTTACTGGGGATGAGGGAATAGGTCCCAAATCAGTGTCAGCCAGCTCTGACATCCTGGGAATATTTTACTTCTTCATGTAGGCAAAATATACCCATGTTAACTTAAATCTGCTTCATGAGATGGTCAATTTTATTTGTGTTTTCATATAGTCACATTAAACTTCAGCTAAATGTTTTTACTAAAATGAATTTTCACTGTATTGTTCATCTCTTAAGTTTTCTGTGATGTCTTAAAATGTTTCTCTGGATGGAGAGAAACTGCTTCTCCTGGAACTGGCCCATTCTTAAAGACAATGAAGGTAAATCAACCGAGGGGTCATAAGGGAAGGTGAAACATTCCATCCTGCAAGTAGACCAGTTAAGCTCAGGAAGAAAACAACTCACTTGACAAAAAGTGTCTATCAGGGGTGGAAAACACACACACACACACACACACACATGCAGCAGACACACAGAGAAAAAGACGTGCAAAGTCTCTTTTTGGGGGCTGAGGTTTTTAAATCTCTGAAGTTTTTCCGGCCTTAAATTAGGCTTGATCGGTTTGAAGAAAGCCAAGATGGTTGATTGTGTGTTGTCCCTAGCAGCCTTAAAGTTGTAAAGCCAGTCCATCAACAGGGGGCCTGTTGGCGGAAGACAGAAGCCTGTAAGGCCTTTGTTTAAAGTTGCCAGGTTTTTGTCCATGTCAGGAGGCTGAGGATAGCAGTGAGGTAAGACCAAACCCCCCCCCTCCCCCGCCATTACCGGTTCTGACTCCCTTCAGCCTTCCTGCAGTACCAATGCATATCCCTCCCAACTTCATGTCTTTTTTAAAGTACCCACTGAGTCCAATTAGTGCTGCCCAAATGTGCATGGCTGTGGGGTCCATCCCTGTGTTCGGTTAGAAGCTCCACCTCAGCCCCACCCCTCCCTCTCCAAGCCCTACCCTCCTCAGAAAGACCGCCAAAAGTCCAGGCTTCTACCTCGAAGCACCTCCAGGGTATTTAAGCTTCAGTCCCTAGACCTGCCACGTGATTTCTCCTCCCCCACTCACTTCTGGGGGTGGGGGCTGAAAAGGTCACCCAAGAGCACTTGGCTCATTAAACCTGGTCCTTTTAATTCAGCTTGATCTGGCTTATTGTATCAGCAGAGAAACTCACTATGGGGAGGATTCAAAAATACCTATCACCCTGAAATGTGGGTAACCTACCAGTGCCCATACCCTCAAAGAACAATTCTGTCTCCCTCAGCAGCTATTAATTGCCAATAACTCCCCAGTAAGGGTTGGAGCCTTAGGAGCTCGTCTCTGATCCATGCTAGAATTTTGACTAGCTTTTTTTATGCGGTAACTGCAATTGCTGTGGATCCATGAGTGAAATAGCCATGCCATATCTAAAGACAGCATTTCACAGCCCTCCTCATCATCCAGCTCTTAGTCTTTCCCGTCTCCTCTTCTGAAAGATTCCCCAGTTTTGTCTAGTTCCATAAATTTGATCAGTTACAAGTTTCTGGATTGACTGCTGCCTACTAGCAAACCCAAATTTAATTCACAAATCTATTTTCATGTTTCATAAACTTATCAATATGTTTGAAATATTTTCTGCAAACTTCAATTTTCAGATTCAATAGTTCCAATATTTTAATTGGTGTTTCATTTTATCTGTGTCCTGGCTTTCTAATCATCTTAGTTGCTTTCTCTAGACAGGGCCAGACCCATTATCTTTCCTAAAGTCTCCGTGTAGTGCTTATGCAGGAAGGACAACCCCTCACTGACCAACTCTTCCGTTGTGTAGCGGTTTGCTCAGAAGTTAAAATCTACCATCTTATAGAGAAGTTCATTAAGATACTGGATGTTTACATGGAGGTGAATCAACCGAGGGGTCATAAGGGAAGGTGAAACAGTCCATCCTGCAAGTAGGCCAGTTCAGCTCAGGAAGAAAACAACTCACTAGCTTCAGGAAGTCACTGAAACGGACAAGATTCTCTAGACTCATCCCTCCTTAAGTATATATGAGCAGTAAGGACTACTAATAGACACTCTCAGACAGACTGAGCTGTCTAGAAGGTTCTCAAACAAGCAGAACAGCCGGAAAGAATCAGAGTCCTGCTGAATTGTCTGAAAGAGGCTCAGACAAGCTGAACTACCTGGAGAGGACACTCTGTCCTCTGTCAGCCTGCAGATTATGTGTTATGCTCCAGGTTCCCAGCTTTCATGAACTAACACCCATGCTGGGGTGGGCATTTGACAATGCTTTTGCATCGTTTCTGTTACTTTGAGTAACCCCTCATGCATATTCCTGTAACTTCCATAAAGCTCATCAGTTTAGTATTTTGGACTTTGGTGGTATCCATACTTTGATCTGTTATTGATTCCCTATTTGAAGTAAGTAATGTTTGTTCAGTCCCCAGGAATAGTGTGAGACAGCACCTTCCCATACACTGCCTATCGTGGCCTCATTCACATTTTCAAGGAAGATGGTCATCACTGGTCTGCCTGGTCTGGGTCAGGGCTTACTTCTCACAGATGTTGTGAAAAACATTTCTTCTGTTTGCCCAATTAAGGCCTATCTGCATCATCTTTAGAACACACATAATCTTATGTGAGCTTTCTAACACAAATACATAGCAATGATTCCTAGAGTTTCTGATTCTGTTTGCACACTTGAAAACATTGGTGTTTACTCCTACCTCCAAAACAGCTGCAAAACTGAATGAGCCTGACAGTGATTCCCTTGTGACCTCAGGGTTAGCCTTGGTATTCCAGAAGTATGCATGTAATTCTTAGTTTATATATCCCAACAATTATCTGATTTCTCATCCTTGGTAACACAGTTTCCAAAGTGTGAAATCAGCTGTTTTCAAAATATTTCAGCATGAAATTTCATCTATGACTTTTCAAAAACCCAATGCCTATGAAATGACACCTAGCCGATAATGACAACCATTATAATCAGCATCGAGGGAATACCATACCTGCTAAGTGGGTTCTTACTCTCTCATCTTTCCAAATGGCCCACGAGATAAGTACTATCACCATTCCAAGTTTAGCAACTTGTCTGAGGTCGCCTGTCTCCCGGATGGAAGAGTGTTGATGTGAATGCAGGCATGCCCATCTCCTGACATTTACACTCTTCCCACATCACTGCCCTTTTCAGCTTAGCTACCTACAGTGCTGCATTAGACACCCAGACTTGGGGAAAACAGCATTAATCCTCATGTTAAAACAAAAACACCAAAGTCCATTTTTAAGTTAGATTTATACCTGTCTTGGGTTAAGAACACTGTCAAATTATCTGCCGCTGTATATAGTCGGTGATTGGTGGCCAATGTCTAACTGTAAATAGGAATGGTTATTAAAGCAGCTGGAAAAGATACTTGACCCCAAAGGAAACCACAGCAAGAATTTTGTTTTGTTTCTGCTTTGCTGCTATGGACACATGTGATCCTATAGGACTGAAGACACTGCTGGCAAATCAACATGTAGGCAGCAGTATAGGGCGTTTGCATTTGTTACTTTATCTTTTTCTATGATCTTACAGTCTTAAGGAAGGAGACAATGGGGTTAGTGTCCAGCCACTTATTTAAGGTTAATCATGTGAATTGTGCTTTACCTTTCAAGGACCATGATAAATGGCAGATACTCTCTACAGAAATCACAGAGAAGCCCTACTTAAATTTTTGGAGAAAAGGTTAATGGTCAAGGGATTGCTGAAAACACCATGCTAATACATAAAAACATATAAACTACTTACAAGAAATTGGAAGCTTTTCACTTAATAGGTAAGCTGAATTAGGGCCATCATGAATGAATTTCTCTAAGCATTCAAAAACACACAAGAGGCTGGGGCTATAGCTCAGGGGTAGGGATTTGGGCTAGCAAATGCAAAGCCCTGGGTCCAGTCACCAGCCACACAAAAATAAAACGGGCACCAATGAAAGCAAGTTTTCAGCTTAGTTTGAAGTGAGCTGCAAAAGGAAACCTGGTCATGAAGAAGTGCTGGACACCAGTGACTGGCATGAGTTTCATTCCAGAAGTATTTTTATCCTCAGCATCATTAACCCCATGACTGAACCAAGTTCAGGCACTTGAAAATTAATTACATATCTACTCAGAAATGGAAATAAGCCAATATACACAGGCCAAGAAAAGGCTTGCTGATGGAGCCTGGTAATGCAAATCATCTGAGGACATGCAATATGCAACTTGACACGAGATAGAGTCGTTTGGGAAGAGGGAACCTCAACTGAGAATATTCCCCCACCACATAGGCCTGTGGTGTGTTTTCTTAATTGATGATTGATATGGGAGGGCCCAGCCCACTGTGGGCGGTGCCATCCCTGGGTGGGTGGCCCTAAGTGCTGTAAGAAAGCAAACCAAGCAAGCCATGAGGAGCAAGCCTCTAAGGAGTTTCTCCGTGGCTTCTTCATCAGCTCCTGCCTCCATGTTCCTGGCCTGATTTCCCAACAGGGTGGACTGTGATGTGGAACTGGGAGCTGAAACAAACCTCTTTCTCCTCAAATTGCTATTGGTTGGTGGTAGTCATTACCACTGTCATTTCTAGCCACTTCCTAGCCACATGAGCACGCATGTGCTGTCCAGCAGTCAGGCAAAATGCTTAGTTGCTCCAGGGCCTTATGTCCTACATAATCTGTACACAGCATGGACACATAATCTGCGTGCAGTATGATCACATAATCTATGCACATTCGTGGCATACCTATGTAAGCTCATATACGCATGCATGAGGTGACCTATAAAAGCAGGCTCCACCCATTCCCCTGCTCTCTTCCACACCTTTCTTTTCAGTAGGCCTATCCACATTCACCCCCCTTTCCCTTCCCTAATAAAACTCTTACAGTAAGTTCTGTTATACCTTGTGTTTTCTTACATCAGGTAAATAACGCCAACAAATAAATAACATTGGTGCGTTGACCAAGCAGGCCCTCCCTGTGCCCTGTGCTGGGATCCTGAACTGAGGTTGGTTCATCTACAACTGCCCACCTTCCATCTGCCTGGCCACCAAATCGTTTCACATAACACCGGCTACTTCGATTGGTGAGTTTTCCCTTAACCAGTTCCCTGGACCTATGGGAATGACAGTTGATCGTCTAGCGTCCCTCTGTTGCTTTTGGAACTGGGGTTACCCCATCCATAGTCTTTATTGCTGCAGTCAGCCCTGGTCAGTGACTCTCAACGCCAGTCATTCCCCATGACTATGGTCCGAGGTCTCATTTTCATTCTTTTCTTGACTCTCGGACCCTCGTCCTCCGGCTAACGTCCCAGCCCTCAATCTTTGCTCGATGTAACACTGAGCGACTTATGCCATTAATCCATCCTCACTTGATCTCTGGGATGCCTGAGATATTACAGCTATTGGATCTCATTTATCTTTATTTTTATTTTTATTTTTTTCTCTCTGCCACAGCATGGGAAATAAGGCCTCCAATCCCATAGGCCCGCATCTCCTCTGGGATGCCTTTTAGAAACCCTCAAACCTCTCAGTTTAATGCCCTACTTTAAGATTTCTAAGCTTATCCACCTCTGCATTAAAATAGGGCCTAAATATCCCTTAGATAACAATAAAAAATGGACACCTAATGGCTCATTTGACCCCAACATTTTACAGGAATTGTCTGAAGCAAACAGGCAAATGGAAAGAGTTACCTGTAGATGTAACCGTCTTATTAAATAAGAAACTCAGAGCCAATGCAAAGATGAAAGCCCAAGAGGTCAGAGTGATAGCTAAGAGCTAAAAACCTTACCCTTCACTGCTGCTGCTATCTTCCTCAGCAAGAGACCTACTTCCTGTCTGTTTGTCTTTTTTATAGATTTTCTATTCTGCCTTCTCATTGGTTGTAAACCCAACCACATGACCACCTCATCACTGCCTGTCTGTACAGACCTCCAGGTCTTCTATGGTTGGTATTGAGATTAAAGGTGTGTGTCTCCATGCTGGCTGTATCCTTGAACACACAGAGATCCGCCTAGCTCTTCCTTCCAAGAGCTGGGATTAAAAGCATGCACCACCACCGCCCAGGTTCTGCTATGGCTTGCTATTAGCTCTGACCCCCAGGCAACTTTATTTATTAACATACAAATAAAATCACATTTCAGTACAATTAAAGTATCACCATAGTTACCTTATATCCAAGCCTTTTTCTGTCTCAGCTCCAAACCCTCTCTCCTTCATTCCTATTCACCTGCCCATTTGCTCCAAGCTTTGCAAGCCAAATCTGAGGAACATCTCACTACCACTCCAGACCCTGCCAATGAACCCCCACCTTCCCACCTTCCTGCTCTTTCCTCTCCTCCAATGACTGTTCCTTTGGCTCCTTCAGCCCCTTCCTCCTCCATTATGGGGCTGCCTCAAGCACCCAACTCTGGCCCCCACCTTTACTCCTCCTATCACTCATTCTTGAGCTGCTAAGGAACCCCATCCAAGTCAAACCAACCCGGTGGCCATCCTCCCTTTGCAAGAGGTAGCCAGGGTGGATGGACTGGTTAAAAGTATGTGTCCTTTTCTCACTGAAAGAACTCTCTCAAATTGAAAAAAACTGGGTGCTTATACATCCAACTCTACCTCTTTTATTAAACAGTTCCAATATATCACCCTATCCTGTGGTCTCGCTTTTCATGATATACACAGGATCCTCACTAACCACCTACTGCCTGAGGAGTGCAGAGGAGTCTGGGAACAGGCTAGGATACATGCAGACAAGATCCACCAGACTAAATGCAGCTCATCCTCCTGGACCCACGATGGGATTATAATACCCCAGGTAGCTCTCTAGCTAGGGATCAGTTTATGACCCACCTCCTAGCAGATCTTTGTAAGGCTACCCTCAAGCCAGTAAACTATGAAAAGCTTCAAGACATAGTTCAAAACAAACAAGAGAATCCATCTCAATTTCTAGGATGGCTTATAGAGACCCTCTTACAATATACTAATCTAGATCCTGAGAGGCCAGAGGGCAGGCAGCTTCTTATGACCCATTTCTTTTTGCAGAGCTTCCCCAACATTATGGCCAAACTTAAGCATCTGGAGAGAAGGCACCTGACCCCACAGGCAGAAGTCACTGGCTTTTAAGGTGTACCATGGGAGAGATGAGAAAGCCCATAGACAAAACTCCCAAATGCAGACCAAGGCCATCCAACCAACCCCCGAGGGCCCCCAGATCCCTGTTTTAAATGTGGTCGAGAAGACCACTAGGCTCATACCTGCCCTGCCCTATGTGGACTGCCTGGGCCATGTCCAAAGTGCTACCAAGAGGGCCACTGGTTAGTTGACTGTCCCCGTGTACCTTGTGACATGGGGACATCAAACACAGACCACCCTCCAGCCGATCTCCTAGGCTTGACCATAAACAATTGAAGGTGCCTAGGTTTCAACCTGACAACAGTCATCTCCCACAGGGAGATTACAGTGTTAGGGCAAGCCATTTCCTTCCTCATGGACACTGGGACCACTTACTTGATCCTGAGGGAGTTTGGGGGACCCACCTCTTCCTCTCATCTCCCTATTGTTGGGGTAGAGGGACAGCCTTATCTACCTCATCAGGCCCCACCACTCAATTGTATTTTCAGGGGTCTCCCTCTTACTCAGACATTTTTAGTCATGCCACCCTCCCCTGTGCCCCTAATGGAAAGAGATTCTTTTGCCAAGATAGGAGCTTCTATTTCATTTGCTACCTGCCCCATTCACCTGACCCCAGACTTGCCAGCAGCTCCTCTCCTCCTCCTTCTAACCACCCAGCACACTAGCTCTAACATATCATTTCCCTTGCCAGCCTCTCAGGTGGACCTCCAAGTCTGGGACACCCAGAACCCTTCTGTTGCCAGGCATCATTCTCCCATTGTTATCCAATTACAGGACCCTACCCAGTACATCACCCAAGCTCAGTACCCTCCCTCACTCCAGAGTCTTATAGGACTTAAACCTGTCATCTCCGACCTTCTAAGAAAAAAGCTACTTCACCCAACCTCTTCTTCTTCTAACAACCCTATACTTGCAGTTAATAAGTCTAATGGAACCTATCACCTGGTTCAAGGCCTCTGGCTCATTAATTCTGCAGTGGTCCCCTTTATCCTGTGGTCCCCAATCCTTACACACTCCTTTCCACTATTCTTTCAGGAACCTCTCATTTCTCAGTTCTAAATCTCAAGGACACTTTCTTCTCTATTTCTCTCAGCCCTCAGTCTCAAAATATTTTCACTTTCACCCCACACCTATTTGGTTGGGTCCTAGCCTCTGACTTGCTCTCTTTGTCCCTCCCTGACTCTAAACTAATTCAGTATGTAGAAGACATTCTACTCTGCAGGCAGTCATTACAAATTAGGCAAACTAACACTTCTGTTCTCCTAAATTTCTTGTCCAGCCAGGGTTATAGAGTCTCACCTTCCAAGGTCCAGCTGTCCACTGCACAGGTCACCTATTTGGGTCTAACCATTAACCCAACCCACAAGCCTATTACTGTAGATAGAAAGCATCTAATCCAGTCTTTTGCAGTCCCCTCTACTAAACAGGAGATTCTACTTTTTCTGGGAATAGCTGGCTTCTTACGGTCCTGGGCTCTATCTTTTTCTCTTCTTGCCTGCTTCTTATATGAGGCAGCTCTTGGCTCCCTATATGAACCCTTCCTTCATCCCATTACTAAACCCTTCCAGAAGCTCCAACAGGCTCTCGTCCAGGCTGCAGCACTTCATCTCCAGACCTAGCACGTCCCTTCTCCCTCTAAGTAACAGAAAGAGAAGGATAAACCTTTGGGGCCCTAGGGCACCAGCTGGGACCTTCCTTTGTGCCTGTAGCATACCTGTCAAAAAATTCGACCTCACCATGCAGGGATGGGCACCTTGCATTCATGCTTTAGTAGCTGCTGAGCTCCTTATTCCTGAATCAAAGAAACTAACCTTTGGGTCACCCACCACTATCTTCTACCACAATCTGTCCCATCTCTTAGCTTAAAAAGGCTTACAAACTCTACCTCCTTCTCCAAGTGGCACTAGTAAAAGATGCCACACTCATGTTCCAAACCTGCCTACCCCTCAGTATCTCAAGTCTCCTCCCTCAACCTAATACCGACTATCCCCCATCTCATTCCTGCACTGAAAACCCTAGAGAAACTATTGTCTCATCCTTCACACATACAAGAGGGCACTTATACCTGGTATGCAGATGGCAGCTCCTTTTTACATGAAGGAATCGATAAAGCAGGCTATGCCATAGTGTCGGTTACTGGGGTGGTTAAAGCACAGGCATTACCAGCCCACACAACTAACCAACAGGCTGAACTAATAGCTCTCACCCATGCCTTCCAGTTGGCAGACGGACAGTCCCTAAATGTTTATACTCCAAATATGCTTTCCATATCCTCCTGTCCCAAGCTGCTCTCTGGAAAGGGCTCAGGCTTCTTACAGTGAAAGGAGGATCCATATCTAACTCAGGCCAAGTAATGGCCATGCTAAAAGCCTCCCATCTCCCCAAAGCTATAGGAATTATTCACTGCCAGTCTCATCAGACCAACAGCTCCATCATCTCTATAGGAAATAACCAGGCTGACCAGGCAGCTAGGGCAGTGGCCCTCCAGGGTCCAGACTCGCTCCACCCACCACAGGGATCCATACAGTACAACCCACATCCTCACAGTCAGCCCCTGACACTGAACAAATTCTGTCCTATCTACATCTGCTCTTTCACCCTAATAGTCACCTCTCTCTCAGTTTGTCAAGGCCAACCTACAGCCTGTTGCTGAGGATTTATAGTTCTTAAAAACTATTACTGCCTCTTGTAAAATTTGTCAAAAGTCAGATCCCAATTCCAAATATCAGAACCAACCTTTTCCCACCCACTGAGCTAGGGGCTCCCTTCTAGGGACTGACTGCCAATTCAATTTTACCCATATGCCCACTGTCAGGCAGATTAGATATCTTCTGGTGTTCATGGATTCTTTCTCAAGTTGGATGGAGGCTTCCCCAGTTTCTAGAAAATGGGCTCAGATAGTCTCTGACCTCCTTCTCTGGGAAATTATCCTTAATTTTGGATCCTTGCCTCTCTCCAGTCTGATAGTGGCTTGGAGTTTACCCCACCCCACCACCCCACCCCCCAATTTCTCAAACCCTATTTGAAGCTCTTAACATTCCTTGGCATTTCCATATCCCTTACCATTCTCAGTCCTCAGGGAAGGTGGAACGTACCAACCACTCTTTAAAAAACATTCCTATTAAGATGTCACAGGAACTTAATCTTGGCTGGGTAAAATTATTGCTTCTGGCTCTTTTAGGCTCTGGGCTCTTCTCAATAACCCCTTTCAATCAAGCCATTTGAACTTATATATGGGAGGCCAGTTCTAACCCTCGACCTTCTATCCAAACCTTCACCCCTCCCTGAAACCCTGTACATTCCCTTACTCTATCACCTCCATTCTCTCTTACGGAATTTTGCTGACCATTCCCTACCCCATCCATGTGACAACCCCTGCCCACCCCCCAATCAGCATTGGGAATCAAGTTCTTCTTTCCGCCCGCCCCCAGGCCAACACCCCTCACTCATTTCCCCTAAATGGCAGGAACCCTTCAAGGTAATTCTTGTAACCCCCACAGCTGCTAAGCTCAAGGGTTTCCCTCACTGGATTCACTTATCTTACCTAAAGTCTTTTTACCCCACCCCCACCCCAGGGGAATTCCTCCTCATACACAGTGACACAAACAGGACCCTGCTCTCTTAAGTTCTAGAGTTCACTGGGATCAACCACCTTGTCTCCAATTCCAGAAGAATGAGGTTTCATCCCACAACTGTACTCAATCCCACTGGATTGGGAACCCCATATGTTTTTCTTCCTGATTCCCCCTCTGAGTTCTCCTGTCTCTACTGATCACATTCTGCTTCATCAGTTTCCCTCTGTGTCTCTAATAACATATTCAAATGTCTAATTAACTACTCAGCTGACTGTTACAGGACCACTGTCAGTCATAGAGTAGGAGGCACAAGGACCAACAAATACACCCAGGTGGTAAGAAATAGTAACACTCCAGAGGTATTCACACCCCCAGACTCAAAAGGGTCTGGACTCTGCAAAAACAGACTTTAATATAATGGTTTATTACTGTTAAATGCCCTCAGCAATCAATCACCTGTGTCTCCTGGATGCTGAAATGATACCAAGATAATGAAAGGAAACAGGTGCCTTAAGGTTGGTCTCAGGTGAAGATAGGAAGTCTAATTGATAATATAAAAAAGAAATCATGTTCCAGATTTCTCTCTCTCTCTCTTGCTATATGACTCTATAACTTCAAGTCTAACCAATAAAATTCTGATAGCAGAGTACTAAACACTATAATATCATATCTACCAGCTCAGGATTTTGAATTCCCTTTGGTTGCTTCTTAAAACTTGTCTCCTTCATAAACTTAAAAATTCCAAGCTCCAGAGAGTCAGCTTGGATGCACCTGGACAGGTCAGATCCACTTCAGATAAGTATCATTCAAACTTTCCTGGTCCCAGAACGCCCCCTCATCCTGGGACCACTCAGGGACCCCCATCATATCATCTCCCCTTTTCCCTCCCAAAAGTACAAGGATCTGAGATTTTTTTTTCTAAATTTCTTCTTCTGTCTCACCTTGTCGGGTCCAAGCTGTCAGATCCAAACAGCACTGGATGGTTCCACAGGGCTCAGGACAGCAGCAGAGACAATCAGCTACCTCAGGAGGACTGGCTACCTCGAAAAAAGTCCCCTACCCACCCTCCAAAATTAACTGACACCCACCGAGTCAGCTGGAAGCATTTCCAGAGACATGGTGCCCCATTCCCCTTCACCTGCCACCCCTAACCCCTTACTTTTTATAGTAACGAAAATGATAGAATGTTATTTCTAGCTGCTTCCTAGCCATATGACAGCACAGTCAGGCAAAATGCTTAGTCACTCCAGGGCCTTACATCCTACATAATCTCTGCACAGCGTAGTCACATAATCTGTACACAGCATGATCATGTAATCTATGAAGGGATTGATTAATTAATTGATTTATTAGCTGGAGGTATCAGAATATTTTGTTTACTCCAAATATTGGCATAGAAGTGGGACAGTACTGATGTTATGCTCCCAATCGTCAGCAAGATTTGGGTCCATGGTCTCAAGCATATATACAGATGTACACACTATACTCAAGCTAAAATGGAAAAATATATATATATTCTGATAGAAATTTAAGCTAAAGCAAGAAAACAATCTAACAGAAAGGGAAAAGAATGGAACAGGTAATTCAAAAGAAAAAGGGAAATAGTAAGAAAATGTCTTCCTCAATGTTTTAAAAAATAAGATCAAAACAGGAAAAACTGCCAGGTTTTTATTTATTTATCTATCTATTCATTTATTTAGTTATTAACTTTTTATCGATTCTTTGTGGATTTCATGTCATGCATCCAAATTCCATTCATTTCCCCATCCCTTTGCACCCTCTGCACCTTGCAACATCCCCACATCCCAAAATAAAATTCAAAAGAAAAAAGATCTTGTGGTGGAAGCTGTAGTGTGACACAGTGAGTCACACAGTCCATACGTCTTTACTTGCAAGTGTTCATTGCAATTAGCTCACTCAACTTCCAGACAAAAGCCTTTCGCAGAATCCTAGCAAGCTGGGAAGGGGACCCCCTGTCCCTGAACACATTGCCTCCTGTGAAGGATCCTGTGAGCGAAGAAGAGGGCAGAGCTGTTGTTTCAGCATCTGTGGTAATTTCAGCCCCCAGTCCTGATTGTGCCCTGCTGGTCTTAGAAATGGAAGATGCCTGAGGGAAAAGCTACAGCAAAGACATCAGATTGTGATGGTGGGAACCACGCTACCTCCGAACTTAAATCCTCACGAATCCCATTGTCCGATTCCAAACTCACTGTGCCCTTTGAGTTAGCACTCTGCCAGGGTGCAGAGCAGACCCAGGGCCAGCGAGAGCTGCAGCTGGCTGCACAGTCAGGTGTGTATTGTTAGCTGAGTTCCCGGGTGAATAGCACTTACTTTCTCAAAGTTGGTCACTCCAGAACAAGGGTTCTAATTTCCTCCTGCTTTCATTCTCCCGGTCATGCCAGTGGAGTAGTGCTTCATGTCATCTAAGCATCCCATTCTTAAAAAATGAAAAGCTTCACAGTCCTGCATGATATTCCCCCAGCCCTGTCTCTCTTTCCTTCCTCTTTCTTTCTCTCTCTCCTTCCTCCCTCTCTCTCCCTCCGTCCCTCTCTTATGTAAAAACAAATGGCATTACCAGGGAGAAACTGAGGCACTTCCCAGGAGAAACAATTTTCCTGACATCAATTATCAAGAAGTTATCAAAACAAAACAATAAAAATCCAGTTGTGTGCCAGGCGGGCAAAGGAATTTTCCTTAACCCATTGCTGGGTGACTTTCACAGGCTGCTTCCAAGGTCTCCCAACCTACTATCACTATACAAAGCCCAGCTTCAGTCTTGGGATTTCTTCTGCAGTCCTCACCCAAAGATCTCTCATCAAGTATGTTGCCCCAAGAAAAACACAAAGGCACAATGCAGTCTCTGGACCTCATCCAAGTGGATTAGAGGACGGACTGACAGTCAGACAGATGCAGGGAAAACTCTCTTATTCAACTGTGCTCCCCCAAAGACACTAGCACAAGTTTATTTTCACTTACCACACCCCACTTACCTGAAAATCATGCACATTGTTTGAGAAATGGGTGTGTAGCTTTAGAAGGAGGACAGATTTCATCAGCAATGGAGGATTTGCCCCGAGCTTCCAAGACACGGAAGCTCTAGTGGTTCTCATGAAGGCACATGTAAGACTGGAGGGCACTCCAGGAAAGGATTACAAGACCAAACCACCCCAGCAACATTGAGGTCACTCCCGAACTGCCTCCAGTTTCCTGTGTTTCTTTTAAAGTTCCTAAATAAGTAGAACTGTTCTTGATAGACAATGTGAAGAAAGGGTTCACAGATAAAAGATCATCGTAATTTTGTGAAAGCATGAGTAGAACTAATATTTCTATCTTTTAAACTATTTCTAGAGTCCTTCCATAGGCATCTGTACTATTCATAAAAAGTAAGCACATAGAAACGAACAGTCACCGTAATTATATTGTTGCTGTATATTTTTCTAAAAAAAAAAATCTGGAATTTTCTAAATGCAGATCGGATGCAGTTGTCTTTAACAAGTTTATTTCTAACTCAATTTCTTTCTTCATTTTTGTCCTTATTTCTTTAGAATTTCCAGATTTCTTTTGGTTTTGGTGGGTAGGACTCTCTCCCTGGTCCTTTTTAACAGAACTTGGAGATATTAGTGGAACACAGATAGATTAGATACAATGTGTTGTGACATAAATACCTTCTGTGTGTCTGTGTACTACTACTTCTTTGTGGAGAAATGCCTTAATTGTAGCAAAACTATGTACGCATGCATTGTAAACAGCTGTAACTGTGAGAACTTACGTGCAAAACTAATGTAGCTCCTATTCTTTTATCTGGAAGGAAGTTTTATTTATTCATTGTTTCTTCAGGTGTTCCAAAAAATAATCTGCTGAAGCATCAGAATCTTATATGGAAGAGATGTCCGAGATACAGGAGATTCTGAAGATGAGTTCCCCAACTTTCTGCCTTCTCCAGAATATACTATTCTTCCATATACTTGATTTTTGAAGAAGACTGTACACCAGTGAGCCTGCCGGGGTAGATAGCATATAAAATATATCCCCAGGTAAATCACTTAAATCCCCCCAGACACACCATGAGCCTGCATGCGACACAATTTCCATATTCAGATGAAATTATTCACATATACCTTTTTTTTTTTTTTGGTTTTTGGTTTTTTTCGAGGCAGGGTTTCTCTGTGCAGTTTTGCGCCTTTCCTGGAACTCACTTGGTAGACCAGGCTGGCCTCGAACTCACAGAGATCCACCTGCCTCTGCCTCCCGAGTGCTGGGACTAAAGGCGTGCGCCACCACTGCCCGGCCACATATACCTTTATAGTGCTGAACATGGGGCTTGAAGAGGACAGGATACTTCCCCTTCCCAGCCCATCCTTATCTGAGTGCTTATCAAGTAGTTAATATGTATTAAATATTTGTGTGGTGGCTCACTGACTCATTTGATTACACGGATTGTTTGATCAACAAAGCTATCACTGGGAGGAGATGGGTTTGTGGTTGGTTGTTTTTTTAAGGATCTGTGTTATAGACATGGATTAGCCAAACCCAACACTTCTACCTCTTCTGCCTGACCCGACTTCCCCTCCTTCCTGTTACAGGTATTGCTCTGTAATTAGCACCAATCCCCCTTTAAGTCTGTTTCAGCATTTGTTCTGCATGGATCCCCTTCAATGACAGCTGGGGAAGAAAATAAATGTAAGGTGAAGCAGATTTTAAAGGAAAGCAACTGAATGGTCTCTGATCAAGTGTCACATTTTCCAGAAAGAGCTGCAAATGCAGCCGACCTGTCTCCAGATGTGTCCCTTCTGCCATTCACACACCTGTGTGGTCCTGCATTTCCTTTTTGTTGCTGTGGTTTTCTGCCTAGAATACCTCTTCTCAGGTGTTTGCTCACTGGCTTCCAATACTAGAGGACAAACTCCCCAAAGCATAGACTTTGGCTTTGATTTACTCTGTGGCCCACACTGGCAAGCACTGTTTAAATTGTGGAAAGCCTTCAATACATAGTCATTGAATGAATACATAATTACTTCTAGATATTTTATCTTGGACACCTAAAGCAAACACACAGAAGCCGGGTTCTGTATACTAAGAGTTTATGTTATATGTTAAGAAAAAAGTTCGGATGCACCAAATAGTCTCAGATGTTAACTGGATCTAGTGGTTATGAAAATAAGCCTTTGTGCAATCACAGAAAAAATTACTAATTCATAAACCTGAGTGAATAGAAATTTGAGGGAGACCTGAGGTCACCTCTCATCTTTCTCTCCTACTGCTTTTTTTGGTCTGGTTTCCAAATAGCCTTTCTTTGTTTGGCTTTGGTTTGTTTTTATTTTTAGAGAAAACTTCAAAGGTGTTTGTTTCGGGGGAGATCTCTTTCTCTCCAACAGCAAAGAGAGAAGATTTGCAGCCAGGAAGAAAAGAGATGACAGCGTGGCAGCTGGCCCAGCCTGCTCGTTAATGCACTTTAAAGTGTGTTTTTAAAGTCTACCAAGACGCAGATGGCTTTAAGGCTTTGGAACCACGGCACCACCAAAGGACTTTAGAACCGGAGAGCCTTTCCACCTCCTGCTCACTAGTGTTTGGACTCCATCCTGTCACAGTCCACACTCCCCACAGCCCCCACCCCTCACCTCACCTCACCCCCCTATCCCTCACCCCTGTCCCCTGACATCTCACATTTCTTCTTCTTCCTCTTTTACTCTTCCCATCGGTCATTCACAAAGCAAAGCTTCAGAGTGTGGACGTCTATTGGTCTCCCCTTCAGCCTGTGTGGCGCTGCTGTCAAAACTTCTACTTTTACACACGTTATGCACCACCCCTTAAAATGTTACCGTCTTTGCTTTTGAACACTTAGGTGTCTTTTAAGAAAATTCAGAGGACAAAACTAGACTCCATGTATATTTATATACTTTCCATTTCCTGTGTGAATCCTGTTTCATTTCTCTCCACTTGAAGTTTTTATTTTTCCCCTCTCTGGCACACACTAGTCATAAATACCTGTAGGGTAATTATAATATCTTAGTGTATGCAAGAATCAGGTCAGGGCAATTGTCATGTCCATCACCTCAATCTTTTATCCCTTTATTCTGTCTGGAACATCCAAAATCCTCTCTTCTATAACAGGTCCCCAGGCCTTAGCATGACTGATGCCACGTTAGAGGCACCGATCTGACCTTAGAACCCAGCACTTAGGCCCCAACACCTGCCAAAATGGGAACAAAGACCTAGTCCAACAAAGATCTAGTCCATCAGAGACCTAGTCCATTTTTCTAGGAAAGCCCCTAAATGCACTACCCTTTTGGCTTCTGTAGTTCTGCTTCTTGCTAACTGAAGTGTTACAACCAGGATGTGGTTTTTGTGCATAAAAGACAAAGGGCTATAAAGTTTGGGGCTGCATGATTTGGCCAAGTTCCCCATGCAGCCACTGGCTGGCAATAAAGACTTTCTTTTCAGCTCACAAGTGTCCATGCGGTGATCTCTGGTGGGCCTACCTTGCAACACTCTTAGGTATTTTTGAAATATGTAGCTACTTGTTATCAACTATAATTAATTGTTGTGCCTGAGAACTTTGGAAGTTATTACTCCTCCCTGACTGCAACCCTGGACCCATCAAGCATCATTTGTTTATCTTTTCTTCCTCTTACTCTTCCAATCCCTTGGCAACCACTATTCCATTCTTGACTTCTACAATAACAACATTTTTAGGCTAAATATCCATAAGTTCTGTTGGATTGAAGGCTTAGTCCCAGCAAGTGTTGCTATTCTAACCTTATCAATGGATTAATCTGTTTAGTTTTACAGAATGGGTAGTTGAGGGATAAATCCTACCTGAAGAAAGTAGGTCATTGGGAATGTGCATCTGTAGGATTTATTTTATTGCCAACTCCTTCCCCATACTTCTGTCTACCTTCAATAAACTGCTATGCTTACCACAAGCTTCCTGCCATAATGTCTGCCTCATGGTGTGCCATAAAAACAGAGCTGCGCTAGCATGGATTGACACCTCTGAAACCCTGAGCCAAAAAGGACCTCTCTTCCTTCAAGTTGTTCTGCTTGGGTATTTTGTCACAGTGACAGAAAGCTGACAGACACAGCTTCCTTTAGCTCATCTTAGGGTATAGTTTTGCTCTCAACAAGTTTCCCTACCTCTAAATTATCAGAAAATATCTATATTAAATCTTCATTTTTAACTTTTATATATTTATTTTACATAACTACACAGTAGCATTGAAACAGTGACTTCAAAAGCTGCTTATCTCCCAGGTTATATGGCATCACACATTATGACTGTCCTTCAAGCTATGCATTAATTATGAATTGTCCCCCATTGACTCGTGGGTTTGAACATTCGGCCCTTGATTAATAATGTTGTTTTGGGAAGTTACAGACCTTTGAGACATGGGCCTAGATGTAAGAAGTAATCTACCAGGAACTGGCCTTTGGAAGTGCAACCTGCCTGAATTCCAGTCCAGCCAGAGTTGAACAAACCACACTGCAAGATCCTGCTTCCATGGCCTGAGCCACCTTGAACTCCATTGCTGCTTTTCCACTAGGGTGAAATGACAATAAACATGGGCCAAAGAAATCTCTGTGTTGCAAGTTCCTCTGTATTTTCCAGACTCAAAATGTTTTACATACACACACACACACACACACACACACACACACAGAGTTTCTCATGTCATTTTGTTACTTGGGAGGTTGTATTTTTTTAATTTTTTGGTAGAGTGTCATGTCATCATTCTCTGTGTCATATAACACTTTGACTGCTTTCAAACCTGTCTTTTCATGAGCTACAGGTGGTCAATGGCTGCTGAAAGAGGGAGAACTAGTTTCCTCCAGGGGTAACCCCCTGCACAGGATGTCCAATGTCAAATAGTAGCTCTGGACACAGGTGTTGTGGAATATTATTTTAACTAGCCAAAGTTGTGTTACATTTGTTTATACTGTGGAATATTACTTTGACTGTGTAATGGTGTGTTACTTTTGTTTATGCTGCATTTGCTTAATGATGTAAGGATGTGTGTTAAGTATGTAAAAATATGCTGCATCTTGTTTCACCTTGCCTGCCTAAGGCACCTGATTGGTCTAATAAAGAGCTGAATGGCCAATAGCTAGGCATTGAGAATAAATGGGAGGAGAAATCTAGACTCAAAAAAAAAAAGGAGAATGAGAAGAACAAGATAAGGAGGAGAGAATGAGAGACCCACCTGGGGCCAGAATCCAGGCAGCCATCAGCCAGCCAAACACAGAGAAGCAGTGAAAGTAAGATATACAGAATATATAAGATATAAGTAAGGTAATATACCCCACAGCAAAAGGTAGATAAAGAGAAACAGGTTAATTTAAGTTAAAAAAGCTAGCCAGAAATGTGCTTAAGCTAGGCCTAGCATTCAAAACTAATAGTAAGTCCCCTTGTCATTATTTGGAAACTGGTTGGTGGTCCAAAAATAAAAAGCCTGGTACACACAGTTACATACGAGCAATGCTAAATGGACTCAGTAGGTTGTATTTACACATGTGCATATATATGTATATACAGATAATAATAACTGAAACAAGAGATCATGAAATCTGGAAGGGCACAGAAGAAGTTTAAGGGAGGAGGAAGGGATGGTAGTGATATAGATACAGTGCTTATGTTTGAACTTACTAATAAAAAATACTATTTTTAAAAAGATGGTTTATGCATCAACTTTGAGAAATTTAACATAACTTCTTCAGTTTTTTTTCTACTACATTTCCCCCTTCCGTTGGACTCAAATATTAAATTAGATGACTTGAAATTTCCTTTTGGTCATTTTTTCATGATTATTGGTTAATTGAGTTCTATAGATAACAATTTTTTTACTTATCTGTCTTCAGTTTCACTAAACCCCTATCCTGCCATCTCCAATCTATAATTAATTGAAGTTTTCACTTCAATTAATACACATTTCAGCTCAAGAGTTTTAAATTTTATGTGGTGCAGAAGGAGAGATAGAAGATCCAGAATATGGGAGAAGAGGTGCTTAGCCAAAAAACAAGAGATTCAGGATGAGTAAGTCTGCAATGAAAGGGAAGAGGATGGGATGGCGGGTGCAGATGAAGACCAACTTTCAGATTCTATAGTAGGAACATTTCAGAACTCTGCTCCATAAAAGTTGACTTTTATTGGACGTTAGAAGCATGTTTTCAACTGAACGTATATGTGGAGACAGAGGTGGTATTGAATTTTAATTTTCAAAGCTGGGAATTTCTGTATTAGGGAAATGATTAGGAACTCTTTGGAATTCTTACATAAGCCTGTTTTTAAGACTTCCTCATTATGTTGTATGACATGCATGGACGTTTTGCCAGACTAGTGAGGGTGGCAAAGCACATGAGTGAACCTGATACTCATAACTGATGAAAACAGATAGACGAGGAAACTGAAGACACAAAGGAACCTACCACTGAGAAAGGGTTGAGGCCACTGAAGAGAAGGTCATGATGAGTTTGATGGCTTGTGGCCATGAAGGCTGGCGCATCAGTGAGCCTGGCATAGAGTTGGGATCCATGAAAAGGTGTGAATCAAAAACTGAGACTATAGTGATGGGCTCACTCAGTACTTGCTGCTCTGGAAGACGGAGTTCAGTTCCCTGCACCCACATTAGGTGGCTCCCAACTACCTCTAACTCCAGCTTCAGGGGATCAAATGCCCTCTCCTGGACTCCAGACACCTGTATTCATGTGTGTTCTCACATATACACACACGTACTTCAAATCTTTTTGTAACTTATGATTTTCAACTTGGCAAGTTTTCTAGTGAAGAAAACTTTATGCTAGAAATATGAGAGGTTATTTGTGGTTGAGATCATACATCTAAGTAGAATGGGGCCATCAAATAGATTATATGGCTCAGGGAGGACCTAATGCCCATGAACCAAAAGGCAAACTGAATTCAGAGAAAGGGCTTTAGAAGGAACAATGAAACTAAAAAATTTCCAACCAGCAGGCAGAAGAAAGGCAGGAGATGACGGATCCCTGAAAAGAGAGTGGGACTTCTGAAAAATTTTGAAATAAATAGAGATGAAACATGATAGAGCAAATCTTGAAGGTCTCTTAGAAGGTGAGAATTCAGTGCTGGAGTTATGGACCTGAATATTTAGTTCCTCCCACCTCAAAGCTTTCTGGCAGGAAAATGATTTGTGAAAGCTCTCTGTAATTCTTCTTCAGGTCTGTGACACAGACATGGGTAGGTGGGTGATAAACTCCACCTCACTGGCAATATCTAATCTGCCAAAATACTTTTTTGTGGAAATCATGCCATATATCTATCCAGCTTAGAAGTTCACCAACAAACCTTAATCCTGGCTAACACAATAACTTTCAAAATACATAGGTAGAGATATTTGTTCCAAGTAAACACAGTAATTAATCTTAGAGAAAGGGCTTTAGAAGGAAAGATGAAACTAAAAATTTCCAACCAGCAGGCAGAAGAAAGGCAGGAGATGATGGATCCCTGAAAAGAGAGTGGGACTTTTGGAAAATACTGAAATAAATAAGGATGGACTCAATCTTATTGCTGGTTAGGATGAACTGAGTTTGCTCATGAACAAAACAGGACTGTGAATACAGAGGCCCCTTTGAGTAGAATTACTGCATGTAAATGTGGCTTACAAATATGGTGGATAGACTGCCTGTATGCTTCCCGATTGAACCATATGGAGTGATATGGAAAAGGGATGTGATGGTTGGACTTAAACTCAATTTACCAGCTCATCTCAAGAAAGCTCCCAAGTCTTCACGCCTGCAAGCCACACAAGTAAACTGTAGCATTACTTGAAAACTCCCCTCATTATGCAAATGTCATAAGATAACCAATCCATACACATGCACCGCAGATGACCTTCTGAAGTTGAAGGCAGTCACACCTGTAACGTTAGATGTCCTTCCTGTGAACCTTTTGACAAGTATGTGTTTTGATGCCTTCCCTTCATAGATGCCTACATTTGTTTAGGATATAAAGGTCATTAAAACCTTGTTTCATCCTCTCAATAACAGGTACTGAGGAAAGACGTGTTGAGTGAATTGATGTGGGTGGCAAAGGATGACAGACAACCACTTGAGTCTGGCAAGGAAGCTGACACTGTAGCTCTTTGGATCTGGAATCCATGATGGAATTATTGTCCATATTTTCCATTCTGTTTCTCATAAAGAAGAAGAGTTAATAAAATGCCACAAATAATAAAATGACTAGGTTCATTCTTTAAACTGAGCTTGGAACAGCACTGTCCTAAAAAAGGGTCCTTTAAAAGCTTTCAGGACAGAGAAAATGAAAAGAATTCATTGATTCACAACAATGTGCCAGGGATTGGACTAGAGTAGCAGATTGGTCAAGTTCTAGACACTGGGGTATTGGCTGGTGGACTCTGTGATACTAACCTGCACATACCCTGCCTTGACACCAACAATCACTTTACAGCATCAAGGAAACAACTCTGCACTTGGAACGACCTACATCACTTCTGGAACTGCAGTTTTGAATGGCTGTGAAAATACTATCAGCTTTCCCTGGGTACATTAATAGAAAACAACAAATGAAAGTAACAAAGAGAATCTCAGTTCAAGGAAAATGGGGAATTGGTATATGAATGTACACTTTAAAAGAAAAAGGTGCATTGTAATATATTCCATTTGTACAAATTATTGCAGCAGAAATCTTAATGGGAAATATGCCAACTGTTTTGCCTCTTAAAATGGCATATTAATCTGCCCAGGGAGTTGCAGCAGTAGACTCCTTCCTGTGCCCTATCATATCCTGCTGATCTTTCCTCTTCCTCTGTGACCCTTTGCAACTACAGTAGTACTTCATAGATTCCCTTTGTGAATTGTTGCTGGATCCTAACGGCTCCCTTGGGGAGGGAGGGAGAAGGTGCAGTGTCAATGACACAGACACTGAGAGTCGGTTGACTGGCAAACAGTGGACTTGTTTATTCAATAATGGGGAAGGCCTTATATACCCTCCTCCTGGCACCCAAGCTGTGTCCCAATCTAGTGGCATTTTGTGGTCATCGCTCATTGGATGAGCACAATCAGGAACTCTGACAGCACCTATTGCTAGGCCCTCAGGCAAACTTCAGGTTGGCTTATAAGGAATGCCTTGGCAACTGGTTTGAGCCAACTTCCTTGACCCTATGGGCCTGTCTTACTACAGTGAATGGTAAGATATTTTTCATGTGACTAATACTTTTCTCATCATAGTAATGTGGAATGCTTTCCCCTTTGCTGAGTAAAGATCTAAGGCTATGAGTGAGCACTAGAACTCAGAGTGTGCATGAGGATGTGTCGTCAGTAAGAGGAGAGATATGCCCTTGAGAGATTATACAAAGAAGAAATTACAGAAGAACTTAGAGAGACTGACAGAAGAAAGCAGGGTCTCTATATCTCTCTTGTCACCCTGCAAAGGGGAAAGCATTCCACACAGAAGCAGGAGTAAGGATGGGCTTGGAAGTGGGTGGAGTTGACCAGCAAACTT